AGACTCGCACAGAAACCCATAGACTCACACAGAGACCCATAGACTCACACAGAGACCCATAGACTCACACAGAGACCCATAGACTCACTACAGAGACCCATAGACTCACACAGAGACCCATAGACTCACACAGAGACCCATAGACTCACACAGAAACCCATAGACTCACACAGAGACCCACAGTTTGTCATCCTTCTCCCGCACCTCCGATTCGCACGGTCGGCTACGTATGGCGCGATAGAAATTTAAAATACATTCAACATACCTACAACAGGCAAAAGCAAGGATCCCCAACCCCCCCCCCCCACCCGTGTCGCCTCTACAGTAAACTAAACTATACACAATTTTTTTTGTTATTTCACGAGGTGTAAGGTCCCACTGAGCTATGCAGCAATTTTTTTTATTTCAAAGCGACTTGGTCATCACGAATGAAAGCTCAAAGTGGTTGGCTTCATTAACTTGATTTGGCGTTTTCGCGACTGCAGGAATTACTCTTTGGGTGTTTCGGTATTTAAGGCCTTGACACAGAGGCGTTGTCTCTCTGTGTGTCTCTCTCTCTGTGTCTCTCCCTGTGTGTCTCTCTCTGTGTGTCTCTGTGTGTGTCTCTGTGTGTCTCTGTGTGTGTCTCTCTCTGTGTCTCTGTGTGTATCTCTCTGTGTGTCTCTGTGTGTGTCTCTCTCTGTGTGTCTCTGTGTGTGTATCTCTCTCTGTGTGCCTCTGTGTGTGTCTCTCTCTGTGTGTCTATGAGTATGTCTCTCTCTGTGTGTCTCTCTCTGTGTGTCTCGCTCTGTGTGTCTCTCTCTGTGTGTCTCTGTGTGTGTCTCTCTCTGTGTGCCTCTGTGTGTGTCTCCCTCTGTGTGTCTCTCTCTGTGTGTATCTGTGTGTGTCTCTCTCTGTGTGTCTCTGTGTGTGTCTCTCTCGCTGTGTGTCTCTGTGTGTGTCTCTCTCTGTGTGTCTGTGTGTGTCTCTCTCTGTGTATCTGTGTGTGTCTCTCTCTCTGTGTATCTCTCTGTGTGTATCTCTCTCTGTGTGTCTCTGTGTGTGTCTCTGTGTGAGTCTCTCTCTGTGTGTCTCTGTGTGTGTCTCTCTCTGTGTGACTCTGTGTGTGTCTCTCTGTGTGTCTCTCTCTCTCTGTGTGCCTCTGTGTGTGTGTGTCTCTGTGTGTGTCTCTCTCTGTGTGTCTCTGTGTGTCTCTCTCTGCGTGTGTGTCTGTCTGTGTCTATGTTATGTCTCTCTGTGTCTCTGTGTGTCTCTGTGTGTGTCTCTCTCTGTGTGTCTCTCTCTGTGTGTCTCTGTGTGTGTTACTCTCTGTGTGTCTCTGTGTGTGTCTCTCTCTGCTTGTGTGTCTGTCTGTGTGTCTATGTTGTGACTCTCTCTGTGTCTCTGTGTGTGTCTCTCTCTGTGTGTCTGTGTGTCTCTCTGTGTGTCTCTGTGTGTGTCTCTCTCTGTGTGTCTCTCTGTGTGTGTCTCTGTCTGTGTGTGTCTCTCTGCGTGTCTCTCTGTGTGTCTCTCTCTGTGTGTCTCTGTGTGTGCCTCTCTCTGTATGCCTCTGTGTTGTCTCCCTCTGTGTGTCTCTGTGTGTGTCTCTCTCTCTGTGTGTCTCTGTGTGTGTCTCTCTCTGCTTGTGTGTCTGTCTGTGTGTCTCCGTGTCCGTGTTTGATCTCTCTATCAAATTTATCAATCTTTGGAAGAACGTAATCAACCAGGTAAGGTGTTGACTGTTATTTTAGCCGACTATCCGTGCTGTATTGCATTATATTTCTAAGTTTACTAGGTTTGTTTTTCTCTTTCATTTGTACCTGATGATTGCTCGTGTTGCAAATCGAAACTTCGCATGCTATTATTTAATTTATTATTTTATCTTTCTACTGTGACTTTAAAAAAGAAACTCACTCACTCTCACTCTCTTACTCTCACTCACTCTCTCACTCACTCTCTCACTCACACACTCACTCTCTCTCACTCACTCCCTCACTCACACTCACCCTCTCACTCACACTCACTCAACAACAACAACAACCGTCATTCGCCACTAAGTGGCGGTGACGTCACCACGACGCTTGTGCCAGGCTATGTGCACCCTGAGGCCACGTGAAGTGTCGAACGCCCGCTGGCAGGAGGTCACAGGGCAGACCCAGGTGCCACGGGTCGACTGACTGAGATGACTGGCTGATGCACCACCTGTGCCCCCTACTGTGCCAACCTGCTGTGCTTTGGCCACCCGGCGCTCCGCTCGTTGTTGTGAGCGTCGCTCCTCCGCCCTCCGTTGTTGTTGGAGGGCGACTACCTCCAACTGCCCAGTAGCATCCTTCACGAGCCTCCTCCACAGAGGCCGATCTTGACACCGCTGGTACCAGTCATCGGCAAGTCCACTCAGCTCCACGACTTCCTGTACCACATCACTCCATCTCTTCTCTAGCCCGTGCCGCGCCCGCTTTGCCCCCTCAATCTGGCCGAACAAAAGCTGTTTCGGCATGCGTTGGCTGGGCATGCGGGCTAC